CCGGATTTGTCCTAAGGCCCAGTGTCACTAAGTGTTGTGCTTAGGAGTCTGGGACAGTCTGCCCCAGTCTATGGGCCTGGGTTTCACCAAGTATCCAGAGATGATGGGCCCAGAGGAGCTCCACCCTGAGCTCCCACTTCTGGTTCTGAGGGTCTCCCCACCCTCGGGGCTCCCCATGTTCCCTGGCCAGGTGCTGGAGAGGAGCCTATAGGAGTGGCCCCTGGGAGGGAATCGAGAGTAGGAGAGGAAATGGGCAAACAGGGTACCTTCCACCAGAGGAAGCATCAGGGCTCCTCTGCGGGGGTGGTTCCAGAGCGCAGACACAAACAGACAGATTCAAACACACACAGACAGATTCAGACACACACAGAAACCCACACGCCCAACGGGCACTTCCCATCCCCACAGGCATCCATCTCCTACCCCTCCGCTCTCCTGCCTCCCTGCCCCAGACAGAAGTGACCTCTCCCCACTTCCCTGTCCCAGGGAGGAGTTCTGGAGTCTCTAGCCTGCTCTTAAGTCACACGACCATCCCTAGAGAGGGGGAACTGGGAAGCCTGGCTGGGCCGGCCTCTACCGAAGACACCAAAGCAAAGGCAGGGAGCCTCACACATAACAGAAAAGAGGAGGGGTCATCCTGAACCCCAGGGAGAAAGGCCAACAAGGCTCACACTAGGCACTACTTGAACCACTTTGGCACATATCCCCCAGACCCTGGCCTCCCCCAGAGTACATTCTGTGGCAGCACAGGCTGGTAGGGGTTGTTTACATGGCTGAGCTATTCACACTCCCTTCCTTCCCCAGCTCCCCTGGGGGTGGTTGGACCTGAGAGAGCCAGGGGAGAGAACTTGGGAGGGTCCAATAGGGTCTGGAGTCCCCAGCTTCAGAAACTCTCCAGAGCAAGATGGTGAGCTGTGGTCCCTGGGCACTGGCCTCTGCTCAGCAGCCCAGGCTCAGGGGAATAGTCCAGGGCAGAGTCCTGTGGCTTGGGGCCTGCAAGAGGCCAGAGTATGAACCTGGGTGTCCAGTGCCTGGAGGGCCTATTGCTGTCATCCCCAAGGAGTAGGGGACTGGTCCCAGGGGAGTGGGATGGATCCCCTTTACCCCTAGCTGCTGTGTCAGCCTTGTCAAGTCACAGTCTGTGGTCTGGACTAGGCTCTGGGGACAGGCTCCGGAAATGTCCAGGGGCTGGCGGAAGTTGGAATGGGGAAAAGGACCCCTTCTCTACCCCACCCTGATCCCCTATCTCGCTTCAGAGCCCATGCCACAGGCCAGAGCCCTTGTTATGACTGTTCTCCGCCTGAGGATGGAACAGAGCTGAGGACACACAAAAGACACAAACACAAAAGGAAAGCAACCCAGCGCATGGACACAAAGCCAGACCTAAGGACCATGGCAAACTGGTGGGCACTCCTAGACATGTGTGGGCCTGGCCCCAGCGGTGCCGACCCCTGGTGCACTCATACACTCACACACACACACAGACACCAACTGACACACGCTCATGCTGACAGTACAGCAGCACTGACAACCAGCTGCCCTCTCCCAGCCCCAGAGCCCCTTACCTGGGCAAGCACAATGCCCCTCGTGGAGCAGCCCCCTGCCCAGGGTGGGCAGCAGGCAGGGCGGGGGAAGGAGCCCCGGAGAGTCAGGCCAAGCTGCCACTAATCCGGGCGGGGAGAGGGGGGGCACCCACGTCAGAGCGGGGACTGCCGGGTGGAGGGCATCTGAGGACATCCCCTCCCACACACGCGGCCGTCTGGGCACCTAGCCCTGCTTCCCAGCCCCTCCATCCTCCAGACAGCTGAGGCTGGCCTCCCCCCACCCCACCCCCACCCTGTGGCAGCATCTGGGGTGGGGGGCATGGGGGAGGGGAATGCCCCGAGAATTCTCCCAGGACTTGAGGGGAGGGGAGGGGAAGGGAAGTGTAGAGATGCTTCTGGGGCCAGGAGGAAGCTCGGTGGCAGATGCCACCCTCCCCTCTTGCCCACCCACCCACATCCTTGACCTAATTCCTCTTCTGGAGCCTGCCTTCCTCCAACCTCCCCTCCCAGCAGTATAACCTCCACCTGCCCCACACTCAGGACCCTGTGCCCAGCAGAGTTGGCTCTGGCCCCCCAGGATTCCCCCTGGCAGCAGGCGGCATCATCTGGCCCTGGCTTGCTCTCTTACCTGCCAGCCTTCAGACCCCTGTTTTGTGATGCTGGGAGGGGCACAGGGCAAAGGCCTGGATAGTAGCCCTTTCAACATCCTCAAGTTTTCGGGGGAGAGAGCGTCCACCAGGCATCCCCTTCTCTGCCTGGACCAAGGTAGTGCTGACCTAGAGGCTTGTGGTCCTGCTGCTAAGTGCGATAGCTAAAAATACAGCCATGGGCCAGTTGTGTGTAGTGATGTGGATGCCACAGCAGGGAGGGGACCAGGACACCAAGGGGTTCCAGGCTCCAGGTGACATGGATGGGGCTAAAGAGCAGAAAGTTAGGGCAGCCTGCTAGAAGGACCAAAAGATGGCAGGAGGGAGGTGGGATAAAGAGAGAAGGAAGAATAGGACAGAAGGATGGCCTGTACCAGGAAGGAGAGGAAACAAGACAGAGGAGCCCTTGAAGGAGACCAAGTGGGTGGGGGAGGTTTTGGAGGGGGCTGGAACCAGGACACAGCAGAACCGTGCATCTGAGGGGCTTCATGTCCCTCCCAGCCCTGATCTTGCCTTGGAGGCTGGCATAGGGTTGTGCATAGGTTGGGGACCATGGGTAGGTAGAGGCCAGCCCAGCCTTCTTCTAGAAGCCAGGGATCTGGAGGGTGGGCCAGGGAGCCCATCCAGAGGGTGGACCTATTGGGCAGAGAGTGGCTCTCAGAGGGGCAGGCCCAGCCAACACCCGGTGCCCTGCACCTTGGGATCATGTATGTACTTGGCCAGAACTGCCCTAAACTTGGACTTGTCCTCACTCCTTCTCTGGCCTCAGGATGTCTTGGAAGCCAGACAACTGCAGTCAGCCATTCACCAACTTGCATTAAGGAGATGCTGGTGACTTCAAGGCTTTGTGGTAAGCCCAGGGGATGCAGGGCATAGAGACCAAAGCACAAGGCCATCTCTTCCCTGGCATTGGAAGAGCTCACAGGTGGGCTCAGTGCATTTGCTCTTCTGGCCTCAGAGGTGTCAGGCCCTGGGTGGGGACGCAGAGGTGACCCCTAGGGAGGTGGACACATTAACAAATGCTAACCAGACATTTCTAATCACGCTGTGGGGAAGCTTAGGCTTCACGGAGAAGGCATGAGTTTGAGAGTGGAGAACAAGCAAAACTTCACCAAATCACACACTTACAAAAATATTTTGCTTCCTTTAAGCCATTTATTCCGGGCTGGGATACAACAGTAAGGTACATCTGTTCTTTACGAAGTGACAACGCAGTTGGGGAGAATATGATAGCTCCAGGCAAAAATGTAGGAGCAGAGATGATGAGAGCCACAGAGAAGCAAGTGACATGATACAGGGCACTCCACGGGGGGCTTCCAGGAGGGGTGAGAAGCAGACAAGAAGAGGACTGGGACCTGCCTATGCTACAGGTGGAGTGTGCAAAGCTTTCTCAACTCCACCAAGCGCCCTAGGGACCTGTCCACTCTAGGCCCGCAGCCCTGGACAGAGTACAAGCAGAGCCCCTACCTGATGCGCTGGTTGGCAGAAGTCAAGGAACTCATCTCTATGAGATGCCTCGCACAAGGTCAGGCATGCACCAAGTGTTCCATACATGTTCATCTCCTTCTTGCCTCCCAGGCAAGGAACAGCTCATTTACCTGGGTACTGTTTGGTGATTAAGTGCCCTGACTCTGGAGCCAGACTGCTTGGTTCAAAGCCCAATTCTGCCACTGATGAGCCATGTGACCTTGGGCAAATCACTTGCCCTCTCTGTGCCTGTTTTCCTGTTTGTGAAATAAATGAAGATTACGATAATCATTCCCACATCCTGAGATTGTTGAAAGGATTAAATTAACAGATATCTGGGGAGCAGAGCAACATCTGTCAAGTGCTGCTGCTCCTCACACCTTGCGTCTGGTACCTGTAGGCGCTTAATACAGATTTTAATGAACAGGTAAGAGTACACTATGATACAGGGGGATGTCACATATGAAGCCACTGGGCACCCATACACAAGGCAATAAGTCACCCCAGCAGATTAGTGCCTTCCCCCCAATAAAACCCAGATAATCCCCACACCAAGAGTTAATCCTCATTCTCAGGCCCCGCTGAGGTATCAGCCTGTTTCCTTTCCTCTCATCCAGTGCCCTCAGCCATCTCTCTGCTTAGACCAAAGCAGGAAGAGCAGATGGGGGGTGGGAGAGGGAAGCAGCCCAGGATCTGGTCGCAGTGAGGACACCAGCATCCATGGCAGCAGAGGCCTGGCCCATGGATCAGAGGAGGTGATGGAGCAGAGCCAGGCCAGGCAAAGAGCTTGGGACTCGGAGTGCTGGGGAGGCCCTGTGGATGGGGCAGGCCTCGGACCAGTGGGCACAGGCAGCAGGGAGGGCCCTCGGAGGCCTGCCCGGGCTCTGCATCGTCCCTGCAACCAGCAGCCAGCAGCCAGCAGCCAGGCCCAGGCAGGGCGAGGTTCTGGCCAGGCTCCGAGCCCCGCCCTCCTTGACCTGGAAGCTGGGGGCAGCCTAGATACTGGCTGCTGCTGCCCCCGCGTGGGCACTCCTTAGAGTGCAAGCCACCCTGGCTGGTACCTGAGTATTTGCACAACTCAAATGCCCAGGGAGTTTCCAGGATCTGAGAGGACCAAGGCACCCTCCTGACAGCTGCTCAGACTGCAACCATGCTCCAGACTGGCCCCTCACTCTCCCTCAGAACTCCCCCAGAGCTTGACCAGAACAGGATCTGTCAACAACTGTCTCCCGGAGAACCATACTCCCCTGCAGTCTGCCTTGCCCTGCACAGTGCCTGCAGTGGGCTTTCAATCTTCAGTGTATGATGGGAGGAGTGGGGAGACACACCAGGTGAAGCAGAGTATCTTTATGCATTTATTTATCAAAACATTCACAAGCCTGACCTCATTCACCAACACAAAACACACAACTGGGACACACACGTCAGGCCTTGGAAAAGGCTGTCAAGTACTTAGAAGGACAAGAAGGAATGCACACAGTTGTAAGGATTTTCAATTTCATCAGCAAGGGTTTGGGGGGCTCTAGTCCCACACCCAGGAAGGTAGAGGGTTGCGGAAGGCAATAAATAGGACCTTGGGCCCAAAGGCTTTGATACATTGTGGGTTCATCCCAGCTCTGCAGGAAATAGGCGGCTGGTGCACAGGCCAGGTGCACAGCTGAGGTCCCTGCAGACAGCCTCCAGGGCCCTTGGGTGTGAGGTAAGACTGGGCTTGAGTCTGCAGGCCCTAGCTGTCCATGTCAGAGGGCACAGTCTTTTTCCGCGTCTTTTTCAGGGAGCGGGAGGTTCCCTGGGAGGAGAGAGGAACACGGTGAGCTGCGTGGGTGTGGGCTGAGTTGGCAGGACCAGCTGCCTCCCTCGCACTGTCCTCACCACTGCCACTGACCTCCCGCACCAGCGGTTTCCTCTTGACCATACGCAGGCTCTGGCTCCGATTCAGAGGCTTTTCTCGGGGCCGGGCCGGTGGCTGGGGGGCTGCCTCAGTATCTGACCAGCATCCATCCTCTGTGTCACTGTCCTGTAGGCCCCCTGACCGATATCCTGGAGAGAGGCCACAGGAGACAAGACCGACCATTTACACAGTTTCAAGGCCCAGGCCCTTGCCCAGCCTCCCTCCCGCCCCTCCCAGAGGGCTCTGGGCCCGTCGGCCACTCACTGATGGGTGGTCTCCGGCGGGGCACGTCATCCTCTGGGTAGAGAGGGTCCTGGTATGTGGGGGCAGAGGTATCAGGGATGGAGCGCAGGTCTTGCATAGAGAAGCTCCGCAGCCTGCCAGCCAGTGCGCCCTGACTCTGTGGAGGGGAGTACCGTGTCACCTGGGAGAAGGAGCTACTGCAGAACGGAGTTCAGCCAGGGAAGCTGCCAGGAAGAATCAGGGCTGATCTGCAGCTAATCTGTGGCAAAGGACTCAGAACTGAGAGCAATTTAGCTGCCTGCCAGAGCCAGACCTTTGTAGGCTACTAGAGCCACAAGAGAGCAAGAATAAGAAGCCACTCACACTTGTGTCAGACAAGAAACTCTCAGCCTGTCCCCTGCCCCCATACCTAGGGTACCTTTTGCTCCCTGGTCAGCCCAAAGGTAAAGGTGGGGCAGGGCTGCTGGAGGGCTGGCCCAGGGCACCTTGGCAGCAGCCTGGACGGCTGCTGTGGCAGCCATGTTGAGGCTCCGCTTCCCAAAGGTGAGCATTGTCTCGTAGCTGCGCTCCTTGGCCTGCACGATGTACGCGTCAATCTCCTATGGATGCAGGAGAGGAGAACTCAGGGAAACAGCAGCAGCCCCTCTTTCCCTGCAGACCCCCAAAAGCCACTGATCATCACACTTCTCTGCCTGCTACCACCCAGGGCCCAGTGGCCACAGATACAGCCAGGGACACACAACAAGAGAAGGGTGCTACAACACTCTTCATCCCCAAACCAACTTCCAGGCGGCATCTCACAGCCCTGGAGGTCATTCCCAGGCACCCATTAGACCACCCCAGCCAGGCCCCATCGGGCCCTACAGGGACAAAGCAGCAGGCCTGGGATTAGAACCCAGTGCCCCCCTGTCCTAAACCTCGAGTCCAGGACTTGTTCCCACTCCTATCTAGGTCTCCCTCTCTGCCTCCCCCTGGGGTACCTACCTTCTCGTGGCGGGACAGGGATGGATGGACAAACTTTCGGTACAGCAGGCTGGCCCCCTTGGTGTACGGTGAGAGCAGCCACAGCACAAAGGCCATCTTGATCTCATAGTAGAAAGGGAACCTGCCAGTGCATAGGGAGCAAGATGAGCTAAGGAGCTGGGCCATGGAGGGCGGCTCCCATCCCACTGCCTGACGACCCCTGCGCGCAGACCAGGAGATAAAGGCATCTGTGAAAGTCTCTGCCGCCATGAAGATTGCAAAGATGATCCAGTACATCATCCACCGCACCTGTGGGGCACAGAGCACAGAGGTCAGCTCCTGAGCCTCCAGGGTCAACACCCGCCCCTGACTAGCCCAGCCCAGACATTCCAGAGAGCCTGTCCTGCTGCATGGCTGCATTCGCCCATGCTGGGCTGGACAGGCACCTCTGGGAAACTGCCACTCATTCCTGTGCCCGCTCTGGTGCGCTACACCCACAAGGCCTTCTGCAGGCACTCTGTTCTTCCACACCTGCCGGAACAAGGCCTGTTCTCTCCTTTGCTGTCACTCAGAATATGCCCTGCTGCCCAGAGCCCCCCAGTCTTACCACCACCCCTCCATGCCGTTCAAGACGGCCTACCCTCTCAAACTCACATATTCACGAATGTTCTTGGCTTTCACAGCCTTGTAGGAAGCGTAAGCTGGATAGAGCATGCCAAATACCAGCCTGGAAGAGCAGACATAGAGAGTGTGAAGACACCATGCCTTGCACTCCCCTGCCAGGTGGCTGCCCCCACCACCACCACTGGGGCTCGAGGTGGCAGTGCCTGCCCTGTTTTTCCCGCCTGGCTTGCACAACCCGTGGTGCCTGAGTCAGTGCCCTGAAGGCCACCTCCCCACCCTGGTGTTTACAAACATCCCCAAGCCTGCCCAGGCCTGCACTGCTGGCCCACGGGTAGTGGTGGTGCTACAGCACAGCCGCTCAAGGAGGTGGGTGAGAGCCCCAGAGTGTCCCCTCCCACAGGTGCGCAATCAGGCCCAGGGCCACCAGACCAGGCACTGCCAGACTACAGAGGGGATATCTGAGCCAGGTGCTGGAGTACTCTGAGGTGAGGGGTAGGACTGAGTGACAAGGCTGAGGCGAGGGTGTGGAGTCACGTGACTGCCCAGGTGGGAAGCAGGCAGCTGGATTCTCCACCCACAAAGTGCCTACTGTGCCTGCATTTGTCTGGCTGTGGCTACCCGCATGCCTATCTGCAGGACAAGAGTGGCTGCGTGTGGGAAGGGTCCCCATCCTCTAGGAAACTGGGGAGGGTAAGACTAGCTCCCGGTCCTGAGTCCCACGCAGGCCCCCAGATCCGTTACCCCCGTGGGTGCTGGAGGAGCCCATGTTAAGAAAGCCCCGCCCCCACGTCCCCAGCCTCCACTCCAGGGGCAAGCTGACACAGGGGTGCAAGCTGAGGGGATCTGAAAGTGTCTATACTCACACCACCAGGCGACAGATCATCCAGGACACCATCCTGACAGCCTTGGGAATGAGAAAAAAGCCCCAATATGCCCCAAAGGATGGCTGCACCGGGGGCTGGGGCAGGGGGCAGAGTGGTGGGGCAGAAACGAGGGCCGGTCGGCCTTCCCACACGAAGGCTGAGCCCAAACCCACCGACCCCGATCCCACAGCGCGGTGTCCTGGAGAACTGGACGCCCCGGCCCGGCCGCAGGAAGCCGACTCTGGAGCGGCTCCCGCGAGTGTTCGGCTCGGCAGTTGCAGCTGCGACCCGCACTTCCTGAGGCAGAAAACCGGGCGTTGAGTGGCCTCTGACTGGAGTAGTGGGTCGTAGCTTTCGCTCCTGAGGGTCGCTGCGGTCCCAGCGCACCAGGCCACAGGAACCGGCCTCCGGGGCGGAGTTTGCAACTCACTTGAAAGTTGCACGGAACCAGGTCCTGCCCAACCCTTGCGCTCCGGCGCGAAGCGCAGGCGCAGTGAGGTCCCAGCGGGGCGGAGCGAGGTCAGGGAGGCGCGGAGCCAGCCACTTAAAGGGGCGCCGCGTGCGTCGCTGGAGAGTGCGGCGATATCCTTCTTGGTTAGGAAGATTAGGGAATGGGAGATAACAGAGTGGGGGGACAAGCAAGAAAAAAATCTGGATCCCGTATTGTCAAGGCGCTTCACTGGTTTCTTCCAGTGTCCCTCCTTGTGTCCTCATCTGTCCCCCTTTGTCAAATGGATAGAATCATTATTGAGTGGGGGTCCCCCTTAAGGCTCAGACACGAGCTGGAAGCAGGCCTGCCGAGCCCATGCAAGTTCTAGTTCTACACCATTGGGTCTCGAAGTCAGTATACATCCAGGGAGGCCCTGCTGAGCAAGAGGGAAAGGAGGGAGGAGAGGGAAGTGGAGTCCTCCTCCAACAGTGGATCTCAGAAGTACATTTCTGTGTAGACATTTTCCAAGATGCACACGTCTTGGCTGACCATGCAGACTTGAGAGATCCTGGGTGCAGTGAGCAGCTCACCCTTCCTTCTTCACCAGAAGTTTGAAATCCCATCGATGGGCCTGGTAGCACACACCTGCAGTCCCAGTGCTCTTGGGAGGCTGAGGCAGGAGGAAGCAAACTTTGAGCCCAGCTTGGGCAACTTAGTGACCTCTAGAGACCCTGTTTTAAAACTTAAAAAGGAGCCGGGGCTGCAGCTCAGTGTGAAGGCTGGCAATTCAATTCCCAATCCGGGTTGGGTTCCTGAGAATGTCATAGAACCAATAATTGTGGTTTTGCCCTGTGCCTGTGTGCAGGGTCTTAATTTTTGCATAGCTTCTTTATTGATTTTATTATGAGGCACCGGGGATTGAACTCAGGACCCTGCACTTGCCAGGTAAGTGCTTATTCTACTGAGCTATCTCCCCTGCCCTTGCATTGCTTTTTTTTTTTTTTTTTTTCTTCTGTCTCCATGTAGGACGTATTCTCAGTTCCTTGCCTAAGGTTACCTAGAGGTGTTTATTGAAGCTGATGGCTGAATGTGTGGCATGGTCCTGAGTTCATGCTGATGTGCAGGATCAGCAAGGCCAGCTGAGAGAGCAGTAGGAGGGGATGGAACTCGAGACTGTTGCTCTGCGAGGGAGGAAGGGAGGACACTAAAAAAAAAAAAAAAGGCAGAAAAAGATAACAAGAAGGTAGGCTTTTCTGCCTCTACGCTTCCCACAGGGCTTTCATTCTGTGATACTTGTGCCTCTGCCTCAGTTGCTCGCTCTGAAAGGGGGGGAGTGACCTCCTTTGCTGCACCGAGGGGAGGGTGAGAGCTGCCTGGGGCTTGTGGGGGCGAAACTCAGGCAGTTTCTGCTGTTTATTAGAACCTCAGTTCACGCCCACCACCTATGGGATGGATGGGCTCCTTAAGGAGCGAGCCAGGGAAAGGAGGCTTTGGGGGGGATAAATAAACACTTGGTGATGATATGGTCTTAATTATTATCATCAATTTTACTGGTGTTGCTGGGTGTGGGAGCCTGAGGTGAAACTGGCCCTCAGGAGAAACTCTCCCAAGGCCTCCTGTCTCCTTGGCCCTTCCTGCCCACCCCCTCTTCCACCTCAGCCCCACACTGTGTTGGAGGAACAAGAAAAGCCAGGAAGGTCCTAGCTGCCACGCCCATCTCAAGGTATAGACTTGGTTCTTAAGGGAGCCTCCAAAGGAGGAAGTCTGTAATTGATGGAATGGGGAGGGGCAAGCTCAAGAAGAGGGGTTACCTGGGGGGATGTCCATTACTCCAGGGAAACCTGGGAGCCTCCTTTCTTTGCACTTCCTCCTCACTGGCTGCCTGCTAGAACAGCGCCTGATCCCAGCATTAGAGGCCACCCTCTGTCCCTATTTGCCAGGAGGATCTCTCTGGTGTCCCCTCTAAGCCCACCCAACTGGGAAGGCCTCTTGCATGGAGACTTCCGGTTCCAATGCCTGTCCTGGGGCATCTAAAGAACAGGAAGTGAGTAGTGTGCCTCTGAGAGCAGGGCTCTGTGCCGAGAGCTGTGAGGCTGGCAGCTGAGGAGTGTCACCCGGCCTGGCTTTGGCAGAACAAGTGGACTCTGGCTCTTATGGCCTTTGGTCCTGAGCTGTTGACACAGTCACCCAGTTACACTGGGTTGCTAAGCAGCTCTCTGGACACATGGATGAGCCCCAGGGCAGGTGACCAGGCAGCCACAGCAGAAAGCTGAGCATTTAGCGTGCAGTGGAACTATCGCCTCCCACTGGCGGACAGGGCTCCTGGACCGAGCAGTTGTGGGAACAGTGTTTACCTTCTGACTGGGCAACAGATGCCAGTGGGTTTAGGAAGCTTGATCTGCTTTCCTTGACAGCCTTTCTTGGGCACAGGATAAAGACCATTTCCCATTTGTTTGTTTTGGTTTTCTGAGACAGGGACTTGCTATGTAGTTCAGGCTGGCTTTGATCTCACTCTATAGCTCAGGCTGGCCTCAAACTCTTCCCTCCTTCCTCTTCCTCTTCCTCAGCCTTCTGAGTGCTAAGATTGCAGGCTTGCATCACTATCCTGCAGGCCACCACTCTTCTTACTCCCCAAAGATAAGGTTGGTCCCCTGAGGGCATCTGCTCAGCCCAGAGCACAAGAATGTGGTACAAGGAAGTGGAAACCCATACTAGTCACCCATAGTGCAACCTGGCCAGAGCAGGGTAGTGTCATGTGAAGGCACAGGTAAAATGTAGGGTACAGACTCTAAGGCCAGATGAGTGAGTAAGCCTAACCCAGGCACCTGCCTAAGGTCATCCCTCTCCAAGCCACGTGTATCTCACGCACTCCTATAGGCCAGGTAAGCTCCTAATTAGGTGCCAGACAGTCCATCGAAGGGCATTACATGTGTCAGCATACATTGAGCACATTGAAATCTCATGATTGATAGCCCTACCAGGTAGGTCTGATTATACCCACTTCATAGATGAGGAAACCAAGACATAAGTAGGCAACATAATGCCTTCACCCACTAGCAAGCTGGTCCAATAGAGATTCCAAAACAGTAGGTTTTCTTTTCTGTTTTGCAGAAGTTGAGGCTCAGGGTAATCAGTTGGCTTGCTTGAAATCTCACACCGAGCAAAGGTGTGATCCCAGACATACAACTGTGCAAGGCAGAGAGAGCCTGGACAGCATTAGGCCGCAGATGTGTGTCCCTTCGAAGTCTGAGAGCTCCAGGCTGCCCAGACCCTGCCCCACCCTGAAGGATAGAACATGAAGGGTAACACATGACACACATGTGACACATGAGCAGTGTGTGACAGCTGAAAGGGGCCCTGAAGTCAATGAGGACCTGAGGAGGGAGGTGATCTGTCCAGGGTCAGGGAGCTGAAGTGGGCCCTGGGCAGGGGAGGGCACCAGGAAGGTTTCTGTGGAAAGTGGGCTGGTAGAGGGGTGTATAAGGGAACAGAGAGAATGGTGAGGAGGGTGGGCTTGGACAAAACGAAAAAGAGACAAAATAAATGTGCCTATCTGAAAAATCCTGGGGACAAAGAATGGTGAGAAGACATGGTGGCTGATTATTATGGAGAGAAAAGGGACCAAGAAGTTATGCAGGACTCCATGATCCTCCCTAAGGTGGAGGGTAGTAGCAGCGGGGATAGCTCTCACCCAGAGAAGCTGGGGATGGGAAGGGACAGATGCAAGCTTTAGTGGGTCTCCAGCACATAAGCTCCACAGCCCCAGGTGGAGGGAACTGGTCTCACCGGCCCAGCACTGAGTGTCATCTTTGGGACACAGAAGCCCAGAGGGGGACGCAGTCCTTAGGGAAGGGAATGGAGGAAGAGGGCATGCAGGCTGACGCTGGCCTCCGGGTACAGCGAGAGTATGGCCCTCATCTTTTTCCTGGTGAAACACTTGGATGACACCTGAGAGCAGGAGGGGGTGGAGCTTTTTATTTGAAGCAAGTGAATCAAAGCATTGCCCCCAAGTTCCCCTTGGCTTCCTGTCACTGGGAGTCCCATCTGGGCCCTGTCGGCCTCCCTGCCCGCTTCCCTGCCTGCCTCTTCTTTGGCCTCCCTTGGCCACTGGGAGCAGCTCCTCCCAGCGTCCAGCAGAGGGCAGCCGAATCTGGGCTCCAGGTGCACCCCTCAGCACTTTCTGGACCACAGCTCATTCTCCACAGAAGAACTGTGTCTATGGGATGGACCCCTGGGTAGTGGCGGGGTGCCAGGGCCCTCAAACGGTGGAACCCAAACCCCATTCTTGGCACCCACAGAGTTGGGTCCAGGGTTCACAGGTTCCCTGGCTTGCACGGCTCCTGTACCCAGCAAAGAGGATCACAGCTTAGGGTCCCCATCCCAAAGGTGGAGTGAACCAGGGGATGGTCCCGCCCTGAGGAAGCAAAGGCTACAGAAAGAAAGGCTTTCATCTGGATGGTCTTTTGTCCCCAAGAGATCTGGAATTCAGGATCACAGAAGGAAACTCCAGTTAGAAGAAAGGGCTGCTGCTGGCAAAGAAGCAAGCCAGCACTCCCAGACTGACCAATGTCATTGTCATTGTCCTTCTCAGCCATGGGGGGCATACATGGCGAGGAGGAGAGGAGGAAAGGTCTTGTGGGTCCCTCCAGGAAGAGCTTCAGCAAGAAAATAACAGAGGGGAGCCCTTCCAGGCAGCACCATCTACATGTGTGCCCAGGGGGACTTGTTTACCTACAGAAGTGTGAGTGTGCACAGGTGTGTGCAAGTGAGAGGTTGTGTGTCCATCAGAGTCCATGTGTGTATATGCAAGGGGCGCAGCAAGAGTGGATACCTTGGGAGCTGACGGCCGTGGCTGAGGCTGCAGCATGGAGCATGAACAGATAAGTAAAGGCCTGCAATGCCCACAGGAAAGGCCAGAAGGTGGGAAGGCTGACTTGGAGAACAGGAGGTCACAGCTCATGCCCCTCTCCATGCCCAAAGCATCACTCCTAAGCCTGAGCAGGGAGCAGAACCCTGAGGGCCTACAGATGTGGGGTGAGGACATACACAGGCAGGCCAGGAGGCCTGGGGGACTGGTGCATACATAGGAGTTTGTGCGGATTGCAGAGATAAGGGATGGCTTCCCCAGGCCAGTCTGTGGTGTGCGTCCAGGCTCACTGTGTGTGTGTGTGTGTGTGTGTGTGTGTGTGTGTGTGTGTGTGTCTGTGCAGTTGACCAGTGTGACTTCACACAGACACAGATGCTGCTCAGAAGCCCCCTCCCAACCTCCAGTGCCACCCTGAGGCCTTGATACCCCTCTAGGCACTGAGATCTACCACCACATGTCGGTATACCAGCGTCTGTCCCTTGAAGCTGGGGGCCAGGAGCAGCTGCGCATCCCCAGCGGGCATATAGCAGAAGGCACGAGGAGCCTGCACTGCCAGCTCCTGGAACCGTACAAACTTCTGTCGCCCTTCGTCCCACTGGTAGATCTGGGTGAAGGAGAAGTCACTGCCCAGTGCCAGGTAGCGGCGGCCACCCACCAGGAAGGGCTGCAGGGCCAGGGAGCCCCGGGAGGGCAGCGCCTGGACCTCAGAGAAGCGAGTGCCCTCCCAGCGCAGAATCTTGGAGTCACCAATGTAGCGGCTGAGGCAGAGGTAGCTGTCACGGCCAGCACGGAAATGTTTCACAGCCTGGGCATCAGGTACCTGGGTCACCTCTCCCTGAGCCACAAACTGCTTCTGGGTACGACTCCATTGATAGATGACTGGTGCCTGGGAGCTGCTAGACACAATCAGTCTCGGCTTGCCCTCACCATCCACAAACTCGAGGTCCGTGTCGCGGTGCCAGGCATGCAGGGCCTGGTGGGAGTAGAAGCCATTTTGGTGCCAACGGTAGAGGCTAGTGGCGCCCGCCTTAGAGCTGTCAGCCACAGCAAAGTACCAGTCCCCATCGATGCGGAAGGCCTCCAGGTCATTGGGCTTTCGCACACGCTGGGGATCGATGTCCTGCAGCTTGGTGAAGCGCGTGGTGTTCGGATCCCAGTGGTAAATGTAGGAGCCACCAAATAGCTGGGCCACAACCACATACAGCTGGCTGTCTACTACCATTGGCTTGCAGTGCACAGCTGAGGGGGCTGCCAGGAGAGAAGGCAGTATGGGGAGGGTCTGCAGCTGCTACCATGTCCTACCCGCCAGAGAAGGAAATCAGTTCCCCAGCTGTGGGTTAGGACTGAGACCTCTCCGGAATTCACCTTCACCTAAGCCCATCCACCTAGCGCTCCATGTGTGCTCATGTCTAACTGTTTTACCAGTGATCGTCCATTTCTATTTCATCCTCGCTCTACCCTTTGGCCCAGGGTTCAAACCCAAGCTGGCCTTGAACACAAAATAGGTTTCTCTAGATACTGATTGATATTGACCGTGTGTTTACGGGAGTGCCATTAATCATGCCAAAAGGCATAGTTATTTTGTCTTCTTCACATAGAAACTGGAGCTTAGAGTGATTTGTCCCAAGCCACCCGCCTGGCCAAATGCCAGTGGTGGTGGTGGTGGTGGCAGGGGTGGTGTCCTCTGAGAAATCCCAGAGGACACCTCAATGTTTGGACAATGGTACATGAAAAGCACTGTCCCCAGGGGCCCCACCTTGGAGAGGGCTTCCTATACTTACCACAGGGGTGCCCTGAGCCCTTCTGGGCCACAAAGCACAGGTGACTGCCACCCACTCTCCTCACCATCCCACTTTGCCCCAGAGGGGCTCTGCAGGGCTCAGGCTCCAGTGGTCACTGTCTGAACCCCTTCTTTGAGCTGTGGTCTGTCCCTAGAATTCCTTTGCCCTCAGACTCCCCTTCCCTTCACACCAACCCAGGCACTCAGACTCAGCCTGGTTGACACGGAGCCCCTCACCCACCTGTCAAGCTGGCTCTTCCTCCTCCTGTGCTCTCAATTTCAACATGTGACCTCATCACCCATCCAGGCCCCTAGGGGTCTCCCCAACACTTCTGTCCATTGCACCCTCCCACCCTGTTGGGCCCTAGTCCTGGTAATCCTCCCTTCCACTTTCCAGAAGAGCTTGTGTAAGGTCCTCGTTCTTTTTTTTTTTCCCTTGTTACTTCTTCACTAAAGGTTTAATGGAATTTACTGGCAAACTCTCTGGGCCTGGAGTTTTCTTTGTGGGAAGGATTTTTAAATACAGACTTCAAGTTCTTTCACAAATACGGGCAACTTAAATTTCTCATGATAGGTACTTAAAAATTTTTTTGGGGGGATGGTAGTAGTTGAGACAGGGTCTCACTATATAGTGCAGGCTGGTCTTGCACTGACTGTGTAGCCCAAGCTGGCCTTGAACTCACAATGATCCTCCTGCTTCAGTCTCCCAAGTGCTGGGATTGCAGGTGTGCGCCACCATGACAGGCTTACCTGTGCCTGCTTTCTCTCTGACCTCCTCCTCCCTATCATTCTTCAAGAGGCCACTTGGGCATCTACTCCACCAGGAGGCCTTCCCAGATGCCCTAGAGCATTGTGTTTCCATCTTCCTACCTTCCTCCTAGGAATGTAGATCTTCTTTCCACCTACCTTTGTGTGAATGTTATCCATGGTGTACCCCCAGCAGAAGAAAGGGCAGAGACCATGTGTCATCCATTCTCTATCTAGAGGAACTTAGTGGAGTTGAACTACTGCAGTCCCTTGGTCAGGGCCAGTGCAGCCAGGTGAGGAGCAGGTACCTGGGATTCTGTCGTAGTCTCGAAGCTGCCGTTCCACGTAATCCCACTTCAGGATGGTGCAGGCACTGGCGCCTGGCTGAGCCAGAGCCAGGTAGAGGTCACTAGAGTAAAGGAAGGGTTCAGCCGACACCGCCGGGAAGGACAAGGTCTGGTACAGCACGAAGTCTGCAGGGATGAGAGGCGTGGGTGGGTGGAACTCAGCCCTGAGGAAGCAGGGACCTGCCCACTAGTCCATTGCACTGAGGGTAGGGTGGGTGGCTTGGGGACACAGGGCACCACCCACCCGTGGTGATGCAGTCGAACTCCCGCAGTGGCAGGTCCTGCACCTTGTGCTCCTGGAAGCGGGGTGGGCTGGCGCAGTAGATGGGGGCCACAGTGGTATTGGTGTGCGCCAGCCACTCCACCAGCCACTTCACCTTGCAGTCGCAGTTGAGTGCGTTGCCCCGCAAGTCCCTGGAGGGTGAGGGCAGGCAGAGGGCACAGAGGGACGGTCTCTCTGCTGCTCTGCCCACCGCCCTCTCGCCCTCTAGTCTGTCCGAGGTAGATCTTATCACAGCTGCTTAGAGTTGCCCACTCAGGCTTTGCAAAGACTGCAGAAAGGCTCCCTGGGGCAGGTACAGCCCCATTCACAGGCTTAGCCAGAGAAGAGTGCTGAGTCGCAGCCCTGCTGCCTCCTTGGCCCAGTGCCCTTGGGAGTGAGGAGTGAACCTCAGGCTTTCATACCGAGCTATGGCCCCCGCCCTTTTGCATTTTGTTCTGTTGAAATAAGGTCTCATTAAGTTGTTAAGTTGCCCAGACTGGGCTCAAACTTGTGATCCTCCTGCCTCAGCTTCCTAAATTTCTGGGAATACAGACTTGTGCCACTACTTTGGCTTGCCAGGTGCCTTTTACAGAGGACAAAATGCAAAGTTATCTGTTGCACACCTAAACTTCCTATAATGAGAGGTTTTATTTTCTTGTATCAATAATAAATGACAGGGCCGGCCAAATAGCTCAGTGGATTAAAGTGCCTGCAAGCAGGCACAGGGGCCAGGGGGTTTGATTCCCAGGCCTGCCGTGCCAGCCCCTCCCCAGGGGCTCGCTGAGATAACAATTGAGACTGGGCGTGGTGGCACACACCTGTAATCCTAGCTCTTGCGAGGCTGTAAACAGGTGGATCACTACAAGTCTGATCTAGTAGTGAGACCTTGAACACCCTATAAACCCTTCCCTAAAATTAAAAAAAATAATAATAATAAATGACTCTGACTATGCTATGGGACTTTAATGTAGATTTAAATCAAACACATTTTAAAATGCACATTTTGAAAACACACAGTTCCTCATGTGCATCTTAGGAGGGTCCACAGGTGACTTGAGGGACCCCAATGTGGAAGGCTATCATCTATAGCTCACTTGACATCATCTCAGAGCCCCCAGGTCCAAACCATCCCAGTCTTTCAAGACCTTCTGGTCACCCCAGTTCTCTCTCCCCACACTGCTCCCTCCAGGGAAAGTGCCCTCTATTGGAAGAAGTGGAACTTGGGCCTTACAAGTCACTCAGGATGTCCAGGGGCCGAAAGATGTCTTTGGGCAGTGTCTGCAGGTTATTGTTGGCCAGTGAGCTGCAAGAGAGACCCCCAGGTCCCTGAAGATCCACCAAAGCCACAGGCCAAAGAAGACGTGGGCTTTGGGTGCGGTGTGTGTATGTGTGTGAGGTACTCACAGGTGTGTCAAGGACTTGAGTCCCCTGAAGGTGAACTTGGATAGGGCCCAGATGTCATTGTTTTCAATGAAGCTAGAGAAAAATGAGAGCTTACCTCAGCTGCCGCTCAAGATCCCAGTTCCCCAGGCAGCTATTTCCTTTACCCCAGCCCAGGTCCTAGTGCTGAGCCTGAGATCAGCTTCCACAGAGTATAGAGATGCCAAGCCTATAGAGACAGGCATCTGGCGGGGATGGTATAGGCAGGGACGTGGATGAAATGACTCTTTGCCATAGGGGCAGTCAGGGTGTCAAGGGCTCTTCCGGTTCCTTGTCTGCCACTGCCCTCTCAGCCCACCCAGGCCTGGCTCCCCCTTGCCATCTACTGTGCATGCCCTTTCCCTCCCACACACAGGTACTGCAGGTGGGACAGTCCTGTGAAGGCGTTGTCTCCAATCAGCGTGAACTTGTTGGAGTTGAGCAACCTGGGGAGATAAAGATAGGATTAGAACTCCTAAGGGTGTGTGTGCTGCCCTAGTCTCTGCCTCCTGGCTGGGCTCCCCCAGAATCTGGCTGCCCTCCTTCTTCACCTTGGAACCTCAGTGGAGGGCCCCTGAGCCACAGGGCAGCAGGACCAAAGGGAATCTGTTCCAATCCTAGAAGCTCCCAGGGCCCCCTGATTGCTCTTGAAAATGGTTGCAGGCAAAGTGCTCCTGCTGGCTGGCTCCTGGCCCACATGGTGTCCTCTGCCTGTTGCCTGTCCTCACCCCATCCCATCCCAGCCCTACAGGGACAGCTGTCCTACCATCCCTCCATTTAGACCCCAGCTTTTTCCTCAAAACCCCCCGGGGTTACCTGTCTCTAAGATGTCCCCCCCCCAATTTCCCTAGTCTCCAGAGAAGCCAGGTCCTACTCCCAATCCCACATGCAGCCCCCAACCCCTCTTTGTGCCATCTGCTACCCTGTCTCCTGCCTCCAGGCTGTCTGTCCTGTGGAAGAGCCAAAGGGGCACCAACATTGTCATCTCCAAAGGCCACCCCACCCACTCTCTCCAAACCCAGCCTCCATCCCCCTCTCCTGTGTCCCCACCAGCCCTTCCATAATGCCTGGTCCATACAAGAACTGCAGCAGTGGCAGGTGGGAGAAGGCTCCATCCTGGATTTCTGAGAAGGCGGCATTCACCAGGGTCCTGCAAGGGACACCAGTGTAACACTGTGGGGGAGTCATGTCCCCCACTTGCATTTGTCCCTCCCTTCTCCGAAACTCCCTGGCCTCCTTCACCGTTCTCCTCCTGCATTGCCTCTGGAGCACCATGGTCCCAGGCTCACCTGCCATCTCAGCCAAGAAAAAGTTCCATTACCTGAACCACTGTTATCACCCAGACACCCACAAGGTGCTGGCGCTGTTGAAGGATGGGGCACTGGGATGGGGAGGGTGCTGTCACCCTGCTGTCAGAGGCACGGCCAGCCAGGCTGTGGGGCCAGCTGCTGTGCGTGAGGCCACCCCAGCTGGGCACAGAGCATTGCTGCCCCTCCTCCTGCTGCCCTCCCTCCTCCTCCTGCTGCCCTTGGTGTAGCATCACAGGCAGTGGCTCTGCAAGCACATGTCACCCCTCGGCTGGGCCAGGCCCCCCACTCGCCACCCCCGCACACAGTGGGTCTCACTGATGTTACTGCTGGGGATGATTCATTCTTGGCCACAGTCCCCTGCTCTCATCGGCCATGGCTGCTGAGGCTGCCTGACTGCGGAGCTCCCTGCAGTTGGGGCCTGACACTCCAGCCAGAGGATGCAGGAGCTCTCCCAGTCCCCAAGTCCTGAAGAGGGCACACACAGGGATTTTCCCATCTACTCCCCAAGGGCTTCTTGCCCTCCTCTCTTCCCCCTCCTCTTGGCACCCCCAGGCCAGGCAGACACTCACAGGGAGATGACCTCAGAGGGCAGGTTCCTGGGCACCGCCTTAGAGTCCACGCAGAAGGCGGTGTCCCTGGTGCAGGAGCAGCTGGGTGGGCAGGGGGGTGTCTTGGGAGGCCTCTTGGCACTGACTTGGAGAATCAGGTAGAAACCCAGCGTGGACAGCGCCAGCAGCCCGGGCCTGGGGCCCCGCCTTGCCCGCAGACCCACCATGCCGCTGAAGGTTTGCTTTTCAGCCGCCCGCAGGCCCGCGCCCACCGCTCCCCGCAGGCGGTGCCACCCTGCACGGTGCCACCTCTGAGCTGCCGCAGCGCAGGGCCGCCTGCCCGCTGGGTGCAGCGGAGGCTTCCTGCCCTCAGGCGCCGGCCGCGTTTCCTGTCTTGCTCGGTCCAGAGAGCTGGCTCGGAAGAGCTGCGCGAAGCCTCGAGCCGCAACCGAGGGTCACCGGGGCGGGCGGGGTGAGAGCGGACTGCAACGCTGGCGCTGGCGCTGGCGCTGGCTGCGGGCGGGGGTGCGTGTGGGGGCGGGGCGGGAGGCCGGCGCCCCGGCTGTCATCTATCTGCCTCCTGGCGGTCTGGTCCTGGGGCTCCAAGGAGAATGCACGGTGGGCACGCGCTCCGGTGCATCTGCGCGTTGGGATGCCAGCGCACAGGAGCACACCTGTCTGCTCGAGCTCACGGATGCTGGGCCTCCCTGCACTTGTGTGCATCTCTTGACTGCGAGGGAACATGTCAAATGACACAGGTACATCTAGGTGGCAAGCAAGATTGGAAGCTCAAAGGTGCTTCTATCTGTCCCCATGTGTCTCCACGACCACCAAACAGAATATGCCTTTGTGTCTGGGAGCTGGAAAGGGACACGGGGACGTGTGAGATTCTGGACCAATTCTGTGCAGCCCCAGACTATTGGAGCTAGGAACTGCCCTGGCTGTGTTCCAGTCCGGCGTTTTGTTCTGCAACCGAGGAAACTGAGGCCTCAAAAAGAGGAAAAGCAGACACACTTATTGTTTGCATTGTGTGCTGTAATGTGCAGAGTTAATTCCCTTCCCTTTTGGGAGAAATGACCTTAACTCCCTTTTACAGATAAGCAAAGTGAGGCTGGAGGGCCAGGAGTCCCCCTGAAGTTCACAGGAGTCACTACAAGCCAGGGGAGCCCACGGGTGTTGAGAACCTTTCACAGAGCCTTCAAGGTCCGACTACTCTTTCTAATATGAAGACACTGTTTGCCTGTCCACTGTTGCCCACTCACAAAAGCACCCCAGAAGTTTTTGAGAGGCTACCTGGTATGTCTTTTACTAAGCCTGAAAGTAAAAGAGATTCGCAAAAACTGTAAAACGGGTGGCACTTTTTTCCTAACTTCTTGGCAGAGAAATATGGCTATTTTTATCTGTTTGTTTGAGAAAGGGTCTTGCTAGGTAGCCCAGCCTAGTCTTGAGTGCCCATCTCATGTTGTAGCTCCAAGTGCTGGGATTATAGAGGAGTAACACCATGCCTGGCTATTTTTATTTTATTTTATTTTATTTTATTTTATTTTATTTTATTTTATTTTTCTGTATTTAGTACAGGATCTACAGGGTTTCACTACACAGATCGGACTTGTATTGATTCTGTTTTCAGCCTCCCAAGCACTGGGATTACAAGTGCATGCCACCACACCCAGTCTTATTTTTATTATTATTTATTTATTTACTTATTTATTTATTTATTTATTTATTTAGTGGAACTGGGGATTAAACTCAGGTCCTTGCACTTGCCAGGCAAGCGCTTATTCTACTGAGCCATTTATTTTTATTTTTAAAAGTATGTGATTTATACTGTAACATACAATAATATTACATATTATTTATATTTGGACCTTGGGACTGAAATGCTATATCATGAGATCACAAGTCCTTTCTCATTTTCTTCTGACCTGTATGTGGTGGTGTGCATCTGTAATCTGAGCATTTTGAGAGGCTGAGGCAGGAAGATTTCTGGGATTACAGGTGTGCACCGCCACATCAGGGCCTATATAAATAAATAAATATTTTTAAATGTCTTAGTAAATAAATAAATATTTTTAAATGTCTGGTAAATATTGATAGATTTAGCCTACATAAACAAAAGTTATTGGGGGATTTAATATTTTTTAGGAGCACTAAGAGGTCCTGAGGACAAGCATTTGGAGAATTGCTACTCTATATCTTGTCATTTCTGGGGGCAGGTGACAAGGAGACTGTTCAAAGAGTTGTGGGTACAGGACAAAGTGAGCCTGGAACTCAGTCCTGGGCTTCTAGTCATGTGTTCTCTCCAAACCAGCTCTCCTGTGTCCTCATTAGTCCAAGAAACTGAGACTCCTGGGCTTAAGATGTGTCCCCATTGTCCATGATTCCTGGCAGCAGTGAGGCTCTGCTCTTAGCTTAAGCCCAGTTCTCCCAGCCAGGGGTACCCCCGCTGATTGATGCCCACTTGCCCTTGCCCATCCAGCTGCCTGTGCTGCCAGCTCAAGGGAAGGGCAGCCATGGGGGTGGGGAGAGTGGCCAGGGAGGGCAGCTGGGCAACCGTCCCCACCCGTCCCTGGCACAGCTCTGCCTGGCACACAAAGAGCAGAGTGAAACTCATCCCAACCCGTGCAGCTGAGGAAGAGGAAAAGGAGACACAGGAGGGGTGGCTGCAGTGGGGCTCTCCGGGACCAACAGTTCTCAGAGAGGGTAACAGGAAGAGAGACGGAAGGGGGTCCTCTGCTTAGCTGGTGAGAAGATCCCTGGGGGTTGGAGTAAGTGCTGATAATGATGAGGATTGGACATTGAGATGGCATTGGAGCCTCAGTACAGCTTAGTGAGGTCAATGAGCTGGGGACAGTCGTTCCATGTCACAGAGGAACACACTAAACCCCAGAAAAGCAGAATGACTCATTCTGGGACCCAGAGCTGCCAGTGAGGCACTGAGACCTCCACACAGCCCTAGCAGAAGCCCATGCCTGTTTAGCATCAGTCCTGTCGCTGAATATAATTATGTGTGGGCGGTGTGCATGCTCCTTGCCCTGTGGCAGGCGTGTGGAAGCACAGGAGAGTGCACTCCCTTCCCTCAGCCAGGTTGAGAAGCTGGGGCAGCCAAAAGCACCACAGAGCCTACCCTCCCATCGCATGCACTAAAGGGCATGTGAGTGTGCAGCAGGGAGCGGTGAAGACGTGGAGGGCCCTGGAGGCTGGGGTGGTGAGGTCATGGAGCAGGTGTCATGGCTCTCAGCTTTTCAGGGTGGGTGGCATTCAGAGAGCAATGACATAAAGAAGGCCCAGAAGTGACAAGAAGCCTGCAGCAGAGGACTGGGCTGAGGGAGAGATGAAGGGCTGTGTGTGACCATGCATTGGGCTTGCCTCCTCCTCCATCCTCCTCTGAGCAGCCTAAGGTCTCTGCCAGGTGGTGCCGGCATCTGAACTTCATGTACGAAACTTAATAGCACCCTTCCCCAGCCCCCAAGTAAAGCAAGTTTTTAAAAAAGAAGCAGTGGCAAGCCATAAAGCCTTGAGAGCTACACTCTGCAGGGGAGACTGAAGGCCAGAGGGAGAATGGAACTCCTTTCCTTCCCCCAGTCAATATGGCAATCCCAACTCATGACACCTGTTCAATGCAAGCCCCACAGCTGAACCTTGCGGCCCCCTGAGATGCCCACGGGGACCCCATCATGCCTGTAGTTCTCCTTGGCTCTCCCCCTGGCCAGCTGCCCACCTGGCTCAGGCCCAGTGCTGTGAGTCAGCCATCAATCCCAGGGTTGCCAGGACAACCGGGAGCTGGGGAAAGAGCTGGGGGCGGGCAGGGGCCAGTGCGGGTAGGCGGGCTGTCTTCTACATCTGGCACCTGCACACAGCTGAGGCTGAGCTGAGAGGCGGATGCTTGCTCCCCTCCCCCTCCTTCCTGCACCCCTCCCCTTCTTCCACTCATCCTGGGACACTCTTTCCTCTGCTGGAGGCTTTGACAAATATTTAAAGGGGCAGCTGGGTGGGTGGGGAGCAAAGAGGGTGGTGGGAGCAAACATTTCCTTCCCTGAGCTTCTCAGGGGCTCTCAGAGGCCAAGCTGTTGTACAACCTCAAGGCTGAGGACCTCCAGCTGGACAGTCCTGATGGGACAGGGGAGTCTGCCAGGGCTGAAGTGGTGGGGGCTGGCTCATGATCAAAGGGCAGGGAAAAGGTGTGAGGAGCCCAGGGCTAAAGGCAGGAATTGGGGTGACATTTTAGAGTTAAAGTACAGCTGGCTGGCTGTATCCATGGGTTTTGCATCTGCCAGTTCAGCCAAAAATACATGGAAAGTATTTGGGGAAAAAATTGTGTCTGTACTGAACAAGTACAGACACTTTTCCTTGTCATGGATTCCCTACATGAGACAGTATAATGACTATTTACATATCATTTACATTGTAATAGGTGTTATAAGTCATCTAGAGATGATTGAAGTCATAGACATGGATGTGTGCAGGTTGTATGTAAATATTCTCTGTTCTTTTATATAAAGGATTTGAGCATCAGTAGATTTTGTGTCCAGGAGGGAAGGTGGTGGCTGGAACCAGTCCCTGGGGATAGAACGGCCAGCTGCCTCCAAGGACAAGGGAGTCTGGCCAAGACAGAGGTGGGGGCAGCTCTGGCTCACACACTCACAAATGTTTAAAGGGGATGGGACCTTATAGACTACCTGGCTCAGCAAGTGACAAGAAGCCCCAGAGAAAGGGCACAGCCAAACCACATATTTGACTTAGAGCACAGAGAGCTGGCTTTGGTGAAAGAAGTGAGGCAGAGAGAGGGAGGACAGTTGGAATCTGAGGGTTTTAAGAAGTGTAGAAGGGAAGGGTGACAGGAAGGCAGAGGGGTAGTAAGCTGATCTAAGGACAAGGAGAATGGGGCCACACCCAGCCTTCTGCCAGGCTGTCCCAGCCTAAGGAAGCAGTGTCAGGAATCTGCCATTAGAACCTAGGTGTACAAAAGTTACATTTCTTGTTACATAGGTCTTGCTTTATCTTGGTCTTAACCATTCAGCAGAAAAGTATAAAAACAAGGTATAAAAAGTAAAGCCATATTAATATGCTGAGCTCTAAAAGGCTCAAGTAAAAACTTCTGACATTGCCAATCCTACAGATAACCCACTACTATTATGGACTACTGGACTATATTGGATTATTTTGCTGAATTCATGTACCTACAATATTTAAATGGCAATGGAATACCCATCTCTGACAAAACTAAACAAAAAAGGGGATACAAATGAAGGACCATTTTGTATCTGTATATACAAAATAGTTAGGATAGATATACAGCTACTTTCTCTTAATTCAATGAGAAGAAAGATTTGTACTAATAGTGTTTGAACAAGATATCACGTCTGCATCTTGTACTATGAATAACCACTACGAAGACAACAATATGCAATGTATTAATTATTGAAACTGTCCTATTAATTGGTTTTGAAAAAAAAGAGAGAATGGCTTTGAAATT